CCCCGGGGTGCTGGGCCCTGTCAGGGGGCAATGAGAAGTGCAGCCCTGCGGATGCATCCTTCATCAGCAAGTGCCTGCGGGTTATCTTGGTTCAGTGCCGAAATACAGAGTTGGCTGAAGCTCAGAGTGCTTTCAGGAGATGCTTTGTGTTTTTGCAAGGGCTTAAACAAAGCATATGATACAGGACAGATTAAATTTCCTACTTAAGCTACGTATACCGTACAAAAAAGTCTATCAACTTAAAACTAGCCTGGATTTATATTGCATTGAGTAGGAAGTCAAAGTGATGTGTTGAAGAAGCAATATTAGAAACATGAATAGGGTTGGTTTTAGAATCATAGAAAAGTGCAGGTTGCAAGGAACCTCTGGAGATCATCTGGTCCAACCTTCTGTTGAGAGCAGGGCCTTAGATTAGGCTTTCTAGGATCCTATTTTGTTCTCTTCGGGTTCTTGGATAGGTGGCTAAATAGGCATTTGCTGTGCCATCTTCTTTTTCAACTGATTATTCAGGTTACACGTACTTTAAATTACATGGAAAATGACATAGCACTAGAGCTGAAAATTCAACCACTTTTGTATTAGTTAATTAGTCCTTGCCTGTGTATGTGCATGACTGCAGTCTTTATTTGCATAGTCATAATCATCTTTTTTTTACTGTGGGTCCCATACTTTTCTTCAGTGTTTGGATGATAGTGCTCAGTGAATGGATGCTTAGTAAATGTGCTTTTTAACTTTCACTTATTTTATAAGTCCTTGCTTTAATCAGTGAATGTCATTCAACTCTCTCATGGAAGAGAATTTCTCCTGTATTTTACCGTGTTGTCTATGGTAAGCGTATGTAATAACAAACATCTGTATGAGACAAGATGGTGGTCTGTGTAATGATGGTGTGATGGAGTAGGTAAACCTACTAATTGCACAGTGTCAGTACATTCTGGTTGTTCAACCTGGAATTTGACATAGGTCCTTAATTTTTTTTTTCATAGTATTTTTGTAGCACGGTGTTCACAACTTGCACTGTATTCAGTAGTAAATACTAGAGATTTCTGCCTCTGGAAGCCTTAGATTGAATAGCTGAAAAGGTGTAACTTGTTAAATGTTTAGTTCAGGCAGTTGCATGCTATTGCAGAAGAATTCCTAAATAAATGCCATCTGGAGAGAACTGTAGCAGCCATAACTGTGAGGGCCTCTTTAGCTATGTACTTTCTGGCTTCTGCTACAAACAGGGTAGGGTCTTACAGACGGACAGCTTCCTTCACTGTGCTAGCATGAACTGGTTTTGAAGCACAAATCCATTGTGCTGAATGATAGAAAAATGAAGTGGAAGGGGAGTCAGGGGTCTGATTAAAGCCAGAATTTTCACACCCATGAGTAAGGGAACCATATTCAAGTACCATAACTCATCTTCATTGTGACACTTCCAAATTTTTTTGATGATCAGCTTTTTGCAACCTGAATATTCTTTTAGTATAATTTTCTAAAATACTCCTCAGGTAAAACAAAGCTAGTATATGGACTCTCTCCCTCTGTGTTTTCAAGAAACTATTTACTTTCCACTAAACCTCTATTGGACATGTACAAATTGTAGTATTTTAGTTAGTTACTGAGTAAAATACATACCTGATAGAGTTTGGTCTTAGTCAAATTGTTGTGAATAGATGTGGTAAATAATCTCGGTGTAAGGTATTTTTGTTCTTTTTTTGTTTTGTGTGTGTGGGAAAGCTTAACATTTCTATTAAAACAGGTAAGCTGTTACATAAGCCTGAAAAATTAGTATGTAGCAAGGAGCCAATGTGGATAGCTTCCAATAACAGTGTTTGTATTCCGCTAAAAGTATAAGTAACTGCAAATGGAAAACGTTAGGCAGCTGTGGCTCATGGTACTCCACTGTCTCCTCCAGTAGGAGGGAGGAGCCCCTCCCCAAAAGGTTGAATTTATTGACCTCTAATTTTGATTTCCTAGTCTGCAAAAAAGTAAAATACCATATTTCTTGTAAAAACTTTACATTCCTTCTGCTGGCACCTACTAAATTACAAATTCAATGTTCACAATTTTAAAGCTTTATTTCTTTTGGAGCAAACCAAAGATCACGTGATTTTTGAGGCTGAATAACGATAGGTCTTTCACCGCAGATTCACGTGCAGAGTTGCTCTATGTGTGAGCTGCAGTTATGATCCTCCAGAGTGAAAATGGTTTGCAGTAGCAGGCTTTGGACCAGTAGTTTTGTTATTTGACGCTCTTGACTATATGAAATCTTCCACTGTCTTTGGGGCCTTCATGTAATTGAGATTCACATGTGTGTTATATTAAATGTAATCTACTGTGTGTGTGTGTTTGACTCAAAGCTTCCTGTTTCTAGTTTGTCGGCTATAGCAACCAGTAAATGAATAGCTGGCTTCAGCAAGGTTTTAAGAACCTGAATGGAGAACAATGAATTTGCTTTAGTATTCAAAGGTCATGGCAGAGAGCGAGTCTGCTCATGGAGTAGGGAATGAGAGAGAAGGCAGAATTTTCAAAGTCATTTTGACAGTTGCTGTAATTAGTTCTTCAAATTTTATTTATGCCAAGGACTTTCTGAATTTTCCCATCTGTGGCATCTCTGGTGCTGCTTTTGAGATGTTGATGATCAGTGTTAGCACTGATATCTGAAGGGATGAGTAAATATCACTAGCAGGTGGTTTGAAATAAAATTTGCCTTTTTGATATTAGATGATGGAGATGTGCTGCTGGTAAGCAGCAATTAGAAGATAAAGCATCAGTGTAGATGCAGTCTGCATGGATCCTCAATGTCCTGAATGTGCATTGATAAGTTTTCTATGTAGGTAATCGTGCAGATCTTAGCAAGGA